GCGACTGGTCTTAATACAGTAGGATTGACTCTGGACTTCCGATGAATTGGCAATCTCTCTGGCAAAGAACACTGACTCCCGTACTTGTTCCGTGCAGCGTTGATTCCAAGTGTCGCCTTTGGCATCTGCATTTGAGGGAAGAGCAGAAGTACAGGAGCTTGGTAGTCCCAGGCAGGGGCTGACCGCCGCTCGCGATTGACGAGATACCTTTGGTAACCTTGTTAATGTTGAGCTTCAAGAATATTCGAGGGCTCCTTGTTCCATAGGTTGGCGCCCTAACTTCTTCTCTGGTCTCATCAACAATAAGTGTTAGCATTTCCTAGCATTGAAGGCGACTCTTTTCGAACCTTTCTGATCACATAATTCAAATGATTATGAGCCATCGTGGCGGAAAGCCCAGTTGTATGAGCCAACGGCAACTGGCTCACTGGTGACATATGGAAGCCCAACAGCCTATTGCACCCTCGACGCAAACGTGGTATGCCTTCATGACCCGCACAGGTATAGCGGCGGCAGGGCTGGAAAAGCTACGATGTGCCCATCCGCACACTGCAACGCTGAGTACATCCTACACATTCTCTTGCTATCATGGCGCATACGCCCGTCTGAATCGCCTTTGACCGACATAGGCGACCGCAAGACTGGTCTGTGATGGCGGTGGGAAAATACGCTGGCTTGCGCCTATTGATGGCGCATGCAACGCATGTTTGTCTCGGCGCATGGCAGTGATGAAGGCGAGCGGCGCTCTCGGGACATGATCTCGGTTCACGGCAGCCAGAGATATAAGCGTTGCGCCTGTTTCCGTGGGGTTTATTCAGTGCTGGAGATAGCGTTGCCTTGGCTACTGGCAGCTTCAGCCTCGCAAGGCACCGTCAAGACAAGAAAACGGTGCAATCCATACTACTGTGGACCGTACTGTCTATCTTACTCGATCTGATGACCATGCAAAAGGTTCCTCTCATGAATCTCCAAAGAAACGACTGTGTCCAACCGGCGAGCGATTATTATTGAGAGGATTTCTATCCAAGGTTTCCGTGCCACAGCTTCAGGGAACCATAACATTGGCTTGCTCTTCTCCAGGCAGGAGAAAGAAGGGAGCGCCAACCACAACCTGGCTTGATCTTCTCCAGGCAGGAGAAAGAAAGACGCCGCTCCTTGAGTCCGCTTCTTCCGTCAATTCCGGACGCAGTCTTGGACAGTATGCTAATCCAGTATAAGATTTTGCGCAGGAATACGACCAATTTGCAAGGTTATGCTCTCCTCTGACACTGTAGATTGATAACCTATTTTTTCAACACCGCCTCAAACATTCTGAAAACAACGTGAGACATTTGTACTTGTAGAAGGGCCAACAGTGGTTGTGAGGTAACTAACTAGGTCCATAAGTTCGCCATTTGACATTTCCCTTATCAGCGTGATCCTGGAGGTCCTATCAAACTGTTTCTAACCATTCCTCACCTTCTATGAAAGGGATGGTAGCTCTTGGTAGATATACTTCCAAATCGGCCATATAAAACAAACTGCATTGCCTTGACAGTTTGAGCTCGGAATCCATGATATATCTCCTATAAAGGGAGAGGAAGCGATGATCTGGGAAGGATTCTGAGCAGGAAAGGGTATGCGATGGTATGCTGGAGTTTATTATCGCTTTGTGGAACCCGGCTGTTTCTCCGCGCCAACACCGAAAAGACCTGCTAACGAGCAACATCCCGTACCCACCTAGTACCAGGATTTGAACCCGTGGAGGAGTCCCAAGGCCTCAGAACAACCAGTTTCATGGTCACCAGCCAAAATGAGGTGCTGCTAACATTTATCACCGGAATTTTCTTGTACGAACCATACCCGTATGACTACTACTGCTTGGGCAAGTAACAGTCTGGGAAGAAGTGTAACATCGGGGCTCCCATCCTTCTGAGCATAGCAGTCACCTATACTCTTGAGTGATCCCTTTAGACTAACCGTTCAACTCTATCCGTAGCGCAATCATTCTTCTCACTTGCCGCAAACAACATCTCTGGCCATATAAAAGCTGGTGAGAGCGGTGTGCAAATTCATTCTCTTGTCTCCACTTCGTACACTCCGCAGGAAGCTATGGGTGACAAGTCGTGCTATATGGGCGCTGGAGGCTACTCGGGTTACATGGGCAGCGGAACTGGAGGAGGATCCTATGCTCGAGAAGAATATGCAGGCAATGTTTCATCTGGTGAGTAACCTTGCTATCTAATTTCAGAGAATCCACAGGTAAAGGTGCAGGATCTGGCAGGTCCCTGGGAATGGACCGTCAACGGCAATCTCTGGACCTGCTCCCATTGGGCAGATGGGCTGAAGTGGTAGATCTCCCGACCTCATCGCATTTGACCTACCAAGGATCACCTCACAGCCGCTCACAGCGAGGGAATAAGTTCATCCAAGTACTCGCGGAGCGAGCTATGGTAGGGTAATGCCTCGGAAGATTGCCATTGGGCAATCTTCCGAGGCATTACCCTACCATAGTCGCGGAGAAGCAGCGCCAGAAGCACATCTCTGAGACCCGTTACCCCCTCCGCCCGTCCTCCGTCCCTTCCCTCAGCACGTCTCCTCGTTATGGCCTAAAAACAACCTGGACTCAGAGTGACGCAGAGTGATTCAACAGACCTTGGTTCTAAGGACAGAGCATCAAGGAAGGGGTAATCGACATCTGAAGTACGTGGGCTAAGGGGTGGTGACTTAGGGCAGCCGTTATTTTGTAAAAGCAGCGAAACAATGAAGGTCCACAGTTAGGGGTAGTGATACTCTGTGATAGCTCCGTGTTAAGCCGTTTGTGAGCACTAGAGCTCTTTCTAGCAGGATGATATGTATTGAATAGGGGAGAGCGGTCGCTCACCGTAAGCCTAAGGGTCGTTTACGGGTTTTTGGTGCAGTTGAGGGCGCTTGAGCTGCAGCGTAAAGTAGCTCTGTAACCCAGCCGGCCTGGATAGTTTCGTAGGGCTGCAGCATAGCAACGTAGGAGTAGGTAGGGCTCCGGTTCGAATGTCGCGCAAGTGGCAGCTAAGCGGATGTGATGAACCCACCTAAGCCATACCCGATCACGATCTCGGTCGTCGGCTGGCAAGTGGAGCACCCAAGATCCCCTTAGACGCTGTATTACTTTGATTTCAGGTAATAAACAGTCAGCACCGTCTCAACCGTACCAACCGTACAGTAGCGGTGGTGGCCAATCGGGCTATGCTGGAAACGTCGGTGGAAGCGACAACCAGGCATCATGCTATTTCGGACCAAAATGATTGATGTTCCTAGCGCAATAAAAATGATTCTAATAATTCCGATCTTTGGATCACGAATGAATCTTTTTGTAGCTACTTTTGTGACCCGAGATAAACGTTCTAGCGTACGAAATGAGGAGTGTCCGAAAGACAATGG